GACAAGAGATTTGTCTCGACTTATATAAAAATATTTATAAATAAACACAAATGTAAATATATAATTTTTAACTTTTGTGTTGAATAAAACTGATCCACCCCGATTCATAATTTAAATCAATATTATGTTAGTTCGTATTACAAATGACAAATGACGTGACATGGCAGCAAGTGAAAACATATGATTGAAATATTTTTCGTGAGATTAGATTGAAAGCTGTATTACATTGAACCTACCCAAATTGTATGATTCTTGGTCACCTTCTGAAGTAAATGTACTTAAACTTGGAATGATGTTTAAGTATATACTCTTTATGCTTAATTTAATTACGTGTAAAACATAATAAAAAGTAATTAAAACGTGTCTTTTAGGTGGAAGAATCAGTTGAATATATACTCTTTATGCTCAATACTTGTTTAGAGTCGTTATTGTACAGCTTCTCGAAACAAATAAATATGAGACTTTTGCTTAAATCATAAAACAAATATTTAAAGTAAAAAGGGCGAATTCCAAAAAAAATTCTTGAAATTCAAAATTCTAAATCAGTCTTATTTACTATGCTTTAATAGCAATTAACTATACTTAAAAAACAAATGACAACATATTTTTATAATAATTTTTAATCTAGAATTTTAAAATTTAAGAGGTATTTTTTTTTATTTTTTCAAATAAAAAACACATCGTGAGTTCGTGACATTTAATGAAACAATGTAACTCTTTTTCAATTATGTGTAAATGTCATCTGTTTTAATTAACATTTTAATTATACTATAACTTATAAACATTTTTTGGTATTTTGGAATGGAGGTACTTGACCCCTCTCCCCCTTTTTAATCCGAGAGAGGCATTTGGCTCGACTACTGTGCTTTTTGGTCGCAATTTAAATATTTTTTGAAAGCTTTAATTTATTCTGAAAATTAAAGCATTTTAAGTTCACAAAACCGAAAATCTCTTGTGACTTAAATATTGCGAATGCGAATGAAATAAGTATTCTAATTTTCATTAAAATGATCTAAAAATAAAATGAGAAAGAAGAAATAAGAGAACAAAATAATGTCTTATAAATCAATAATACCTACAAATGAAAAAATTGGTTTAACTAAAAAAAACAGGGAGAAAATTGCATTTCTCCTGTCTATTTCAAGCATGCCAAAATATTAAAAAATGTTATAATAAAAATAATAGAATTAGTAATCATAATTGTTATCTATTATTTTCCGCAATGGTGTCATCAAATATTTAATTTTATCCATTAATTTATAATTGAACAAATGCATTTTGGTGAATTCAAAGGACTCACGCATGTTTCGGCCAAAAAAGGACTCATGCATGTTGTTTGGGCACATTTTCCTTATTTTATTTGTATGAATTGTGTTTTAATTGGTCAGTTTGATTATTGATTAATTATTAGAAAATGAGTATTTGTGGGTAGAAGAGAAAAATATATGATTTTTGATTGAAAATTATGCATTTTGCTTATTTATCGTTTCCAAACTTCAGTGATCAATCTAATCAAAACAGCTTTAAGTAGTTTGGAAGATAATATTAGCTAACCAATAGTTGTAGAGTAACAAATTATAATGCTAATTACAATATAGAGAGGGTAGTATCATACTTAAAAATAGCTCTAATTATATTATAATACTAGTTGTTCTTTTAGTTCTGGAATCGTCACCAACTATAAATGTAGTGCAGTGTATGGTTTATGCTTTGTTTTGCTCTCATTATCTGTCAATGCTCAACCAAGTTTTTTTTTTATATCAAATTTTCATTAGAATAACACTTTATTTAACATTTTATTACTTAAAAGGATCCCTACACTTGCAATTAAATATTTTATTTGCGTAACCTCAATTAAAAGACCTGTGTACTTAACATTCAATTAATACTTGTAAATTAAGGAATGAGACTCCCCTTTATAGATCTAGTCATGTAAGTATCAAGGGGAAAAAAAACAGTAATATGTTTTCAAAAACTTAAAAACTTAAAAACTAAGAGCTTATTTGTTTCTGCTTTCGTTCATAAACTTGCTTTTTTAAAACAAATTTTTAGAATAAGAAAAAAATGAAAAACATGTTTGGCGGCAGTCGTTGCCAGTGATGATATGTGACGGGCTGCGAGTGAGAAGAAAAGAATATATCTTCAATTTTTCAAAACAAGAAAATATCTAAAAAAATTGTTTTGCTTTTTTAATTTTTAAAAAACATATTACTATTTTTTTTGGTTTTTTAAGTAACTAACTAAAAACATATTATCAAACAAGTTTTATTGATTTTTTGTTTTCAAAAAAATAAATTGTTTTCACAACAATAAACCAAACAAGCCCTAAAACAAATTTTTATAATTTTATATTTTTGTTTTTGTATTTGTATTTTTATACCTTTTGTTTTGAAAAATTGTAGAAATTTTTTTTCTTTTTCACCTATCACCCGCCACTTATCATTGCCAGCATAGCCACTCCCTACCAAAAGCTTTTTTTATTTTTTTGGTTTTCAATATAATTTTTTAAAATAATTATCCAAATTGGAGGGCAAGGGAAAGGGCATTCAATGAACCAATTTTGATGTTTTATTAAGGGAATGTCTCTAGTATACTAACTCCGGTCCTATTTATAAGACCTTATTTATAGACTATAAATAATATCTTATAATTAGGACCAGAGATAGTATTACCATGAAAATTAAAAAGAATGTCTTTATAATTTTTATCAAATTGAGGGAAAGATCCTTATATTGTATTCTTGAAATAAATTGAAATGCAAAGAAAAGAAATCCAAATGAATTAATTGCAAAGCGATGAATAAAAATAAATTGAGATGTAGAGAAATGAAATCCAAATGAATTAATCACTAAACAAATAATAAAATTAAATTGAGATGCAGAGAAATGAAATCCAAATAAATCAATCGCTAAGCGACAAATAAAATTAAATTGAGATGCAAAGAAAAGAAATCCAAGTGAATTAATGCTAAATAATAAATAAAATTGAGATGCATAGAAAAGAAATCCAAATGAATCAATCGCTAAACGACAAATAAAAATAAATTTTGGTCAAAACAAGATCCAAATGAGCTATGGATTGAAAAACACTTGAAACCAAGTGAAGTGAACTTGTAGCATAGGGAAAATTAGAAAAAGGGAACTGGAATTAGAAGGTGCAAGAGAAAGGGCATTCAATAAAACCAATTTGCATGTCTTATTAATAAGTGTCTATTATTTTATCATAAAATTTAGAGAAAAAGTCTTTATAAATAAAACTGACGAGAGGTGTGTGCATTGTTTTCTTAAAATAAAGTGAAATGCAAAGAAAAACATCCAAGTAAATTAATAACTAAACAGCAAATAAAAATAAATTGAGATGCAAAGAAAAAATATGCAAATGAAACCAAATGTTTGGTATGAAGAGAAAAAAAAATGTAACAAAACATGAGGAGTCAAAACTAGTTCAAGAAAAAAGAATTAAAAAAACAAGTAAATGGCACAAATAGCCTTTAAAACAAATAAATAATTAGTCTTAAACTGTAAGCAAGGTTATCTTTGTCATTGAAATTAGAGTTCCCTAAGGCTTATCAAACACATTAATTTGAGTGTTTTTTTTTATAGGTTTATTATGGCTTGTCATGTATGTTAATAAATATTTTCTCTATTTTCCCCTTTGTTTTTTTTAAAAACATAGAAGGAAGTTAAAAATTGTAATATTCTAATTCAGGCGTTTAAAAGTTCAAAATTTCAAAAGAGGAAGTGATGCCTAATTTGGTATTTTACAAATCTAGTCAAATGATTAAAATGCTCTTGTATCAAATTAAAAAGAAGAAAAAGTATTGAATTTTTTATTATCAGTACATTTCTTATCACTAGTTGTTTAACACTTGTCATTGTTAGTTCACAATTTATTAATAAATAACTTATCATTGCTGGTACATTTTTACCATTTGCTGTTTAACACTTGTTATTATCGATTCACAACTTGTTAATAAATTTTTTGATACAAAGGCATTCTTGTTACTACATCCGATCCTAAATATAAGAGCTAGTTAATAATTCGAGTAGATTAAGAAAACTAGTTAGTTATTTGTAATAAATATGTATTATCTTTCCTAAAATATCCTTACTAATCAAGTTTATTGGTTAGAACTATCATTATTAGAAGGACTATTTCAAAAATAAATAAATAAATATGAGAGATAAAATAGAGTAAGGTCTTATATTTAAAACTAAAATAAAAATCAAATAGAATCTTATATTAAAGATCAGAAAAAGTATTTAATTACATTTGTAAAACATCTGATCATATGTCATTTCCTCTTTTGAGATTTTGAAGTCTCATATGTATGAATTGAAAAATTACAATCTTTAACTTTTTTTATGTTATTTTTTCTTTTGTAATTCTTTTTCATTCGGTCAAATATGTCATTAGATGAATAGTACAATTTTTTTTTAGATTTTATAATATGCATGTATATAATTAAGTTGTTCGTAATTTAAAAACATTGATAATAAAATGAAACATTTTTACAGCAAATTCACAAATTTTACAGGACAGTTGATGACTTAAATATTACTATTATTGATTTTTGAATTATCACAAGAGTTATAAATCTAAAAAGTAAAAAGCAATTATTTTATTTTAGAAAACACAAACGCACGCAATGCGCACATATACACACTCACACAATTACTATGCATTGTGAGCGCTTTTCGATAATCCGGATTACGAGCGGCATGTACCCGTTATTCCAAACAAGTACTGAGGACTCCATGGTCATTTCAATGGTACGAATCAATTGGAACCGCACGATTATCAGTTCGGACACGCGTCACGGATCCTAAGACTGGCGTGTTTGCTTTGGTGCATTGGCGGTCACGCTAGCCACCTGCGTTCTCCAAATGATCAACGCCACGTGGTATTACACGTGGCAGGATCCATCCAAGTCAGCACGAGGCTCCTCCCGCTATAAAAGCGCAAGCCCACCCACGCACACTACCACCTAATCCTAATCGCTCCACACCGAAAAAACAGAGGGGTCCCTCAGAAGCTTTCTTGTTTGCCTTTTCCCCCAATTACCTTCCTCCATCGTGTTCTGTTGCCGGTGATCTTCAGCTCGCCGGAGAGATGAATATTCCGGCGAACCTTTCTTTGTTATCGATGAACAATGCTCGTCTCTCCGATCATCGCCGTCATGTTTTTCACGAAAACCCTGGCCTTAAAATAGCGATCTCCTTCCTTTCTCGCTTTTTTTAGAAGCTATTCGACGCTTCTTCTGTGTGTCTTGAGAAAAGTATCGGTTTCTCGGTGTCGCGTAGGGTGGTAAATAAATTTTGGCAGTTTTTTTTTTTTTTGGGTTTTCTGTTGGTTGATCGGTTAAAAGGCGAGTTGATTCTGTGAGTGGTTGTTTTTTAGCTGACCAGAGTTGTAGGTGATGAATGTTTGTTGACTGGGTTACTGCTTGGATTTGCTTAGTATTCTAGCTCGTTCTGGTTCTTCTTCGCTGGAAAAAGAGAGGAGTCTTTCAATTTCGATGTACATTTTCAGAATCTGTGTCTGGCTTTGTCGCTTTAATACTTGACCTTTTTATGAGCAAGTGAAGTTCATTGAGCTCTGAAAATGGAGCAGAGCTGACGCAGAGTGGTACAGTTTAGTGTAATTACGAGTCTGTGAAAAAGAGAGGTAGAAAGGACCCGGGTTTTCAGATCATCTTCTTCAAAATTTTCTCAGCCATGCCTCCGATGAAAATACAGCCAATTGATGTTCCTGTCGATTCCCAGAAATTGAAGGATGCAGCTGTAAGAAACGATGCAGCGAAACCAGTGTTGAAGTCGCGGCTCAGGAGGCTGTTCGTGTTCGATCGGCAGTCTCCAAGCGTTTTGAAGACTTCCTCGGCGGAGAAATCCATCGGCGGTGACGCTCAGAATCAGAAAGATGGAGGAGGAGGCTCGGAGTTCGAGCCCAGCTCACTTTGCTTGGCTAAAATGGTGCAGAATTTCATGGAGGAAAGTAACGAGAAACAGCCACCTGCACAGAAATGCGGCCGCAATCGCTGCAATTGTTTCAACGGGAACAGTAATGACAGTTCCGACGAGGAATTCGACTTGTTCGGTACTTTCGGCGAATCAAGCACCGGCGGATCATTCAGTGAGGCCGCCGACGTGGTGAAGGTAAATGTCGCTGACCCATCCTGCGTTTCCCTTACGGTTTTGAGATGAAATCGCAGAATCTAGAGCCTAGATAGTACCGAAATTTTCGTGAATTCAGATTTTCTGTCATTTTCCTAGCAACCAAGCAAAGAAAATTAAGTAAAGCTGAAATTAATTTTTCCTTTTGCTTTTTCTTTTCTCTTTTTTCCAGGGTTTGATTTTATGCGCTAGTGTTGCCGAGAGGAATCTGTTAGCTGACACTGCGAAGATCGTTGAGAACAACAAGGTCCATAAACGTAAAGATGATTTGAGAAAGATCGTTACCGAAGGCCTTTCTTTGCTTGGCTACGATTGTTCCATCTGTAAATCCAAATGGGACAAAACCCCATCTTGCCCTGCTGGTACCCTTTCCTTCCTCAAATTTTTCTGAGATTTATTTAGAAATTTCAATTGGAAACAGAAATTAAGAAATAGAAATTTCCGCTTTGATTGATTTTCAGGTGAATACGAGTATATCGATGTCATCGTTGAATCTGAGAGATTGTTGATAGACATCGATTTCCGATCAGAGTTCGAGATAGCTCGATCGACGGGTGCTTACAAAAGCATCCTTCAATTACTGCCTCACATTTTCGTCGGAAAATCAGATCGCCTTAGTCAGATCATATCGATCGTATCAGAGGCAGCGAAGCAGAGTCTTAAGAAGAAAGGGATGCACTTTCCGCCGTGGAGGAAGGCGGAGTATATGCGAGCCAAGTGGCTGTCTTCCCCCTGTACTAGGACCAAGCAACCCCCATCGTCCTCCTCCGTCCCATCTGACGTCGTTTCGGAATCGCAGACCTCGAAAAAGGGGGACGTGATCGGCTACGGCGACGGCGACGATGACTCCGCGACGACGGAGGATGTTTGTGGCGAGTTGGAGTTGATATTCGGCGAGAAAAATTCTCTGCCGGATCCGGAGCCGGAGGCTGATCCTGGCGACGAGACCACCAAGCCGGCGGTAGTCATCACGGAGTCACCGTCGTGGCAGCTGCCGGCGATCAAACCGAAGAGTATTGAGAAAGGAACCAAGGTCGTCCCCGGATTAGCCTCTCTCCTCAAAGAGAAACCTTCGAAGTAAAATTTTGGACGTCGTACCTTTTTTTTTTTTTGCCCTCTCCCTAATCCTTAAGCAAAAGCATATAATGAGAGAAATTCAGATAAATGTCTCTCTCCTTTTTTTTTTTTAATTTCATTTTATTTTTGTCAATTTTGTTTTCCTGATGTTTAAAGGATGTAGGGAGATGTTTCGTAAGAAGCCAACTATATGATCCATGTAATAAAATACATTGTAGAAAGGTAAGGATTTTATGTACAAATTGTGACAATTTCGATTTTTTTTTTTTAAATCCTTCACGAACAGGGAAAAAAAAAAGGCATAAAACTTTTTTCTCGGTTCCCAAAATGTCAGTTTCACTCGGTTTTCAATTCACTTTTCTAAGTGAAAAATCATACTTAATAGCTCAACAACTGTGTAATGGATTTATTTATTTGATGGGATGTGGAAATTAGGTCGGAGGTTGATATCTTGAAACTGTGCAGAAAGGGCCGGAGTGCCCATCGGAGTAATGGACAATTTTTTTTTTAATTTTCTCTTGCTCATTTTTAACCATCTCAGCGAAATCAGTAAACACCGGCTACCTCACTAAGTCAGTTTTAAATTGAAATAATATTTTAACTTTACTATTATTCAAGTCTCTCTCATCTTTCTCAATGGAAAATACTGTCATTATCTTTTTTGTCATGGAAATTAATAACTATTACCTGTTGTTAATATAAGATCTCGATTAATTTTTATTTTGATCTTAAATATGAGATCTTAATCTATCTTGTCTTTTATATTTATTCATTTTTTTTCTAAAATAGTTATAATAATGATAATTTTAGTTAATAAACTTGATTAGCAAGAATATTTTAGAAAAAATAATACCTATTTATTACAAATAATTGACTTAATTTATTTTCTTAATCTACTCATATTAATCAGCTAGCTCTTATATTTAGAACCCAAAGTAGTATTTAGGTGACTTGTATTACGGATAGATCTTAGTTTCACGCAATAAAACCGTACATAACTTGAAGTTATTCATATGCATATAAAATTATGGCCAAGTTAAATAATTTAAATCCACGTTTTGTTTTAATAGCTTTTAGATTTAATAAAAATAATTATCATTTTGAGTTCTTTCATGAGACAGGGGGTGAGTGGGGGAGATGTGGTGCGGTGCCGCCGGCTGGAAGCCCCGCTCGTGGCATCTAGAACACCGTGAGCAGGTGCCAGGCATAAACAAGCCCCAAGGAAAAGCCAAAAAAAGAGAGAGAGAGAATAATAAAAAGGTTGACGTTTGCTCCTGAGTATTTTTTTTATACATTTGTCACCTTAAAATATTTTTTATTATATTTAATATTTTAAAATATTTTTTTAGATGTTTCTAGTACCATGAAATATTTTTTTAGTGCATTCAACATCTCTAAATATTTTTTCATATATGTCCAGTACTTAAAAATATTTTTTGGTGTATCATGCACCGAAATAAGAACAAAAGTTTCAAGGTGCTGAACATACCTAAAAAATACTTTGAAAAAGCTAAATACATTACAAAATATTTTATTTTATTTTTTTAACCAGCGCACTACAAAATATTTTGAGATAATGAGATGTTAGATACACTTAAAAAAATATTATAAAGTGTTGAATACGCCTTAACTTATAATGAAAATAAGGATTCGATTTTAGGTTTAACATCTTCAGATATTTTATAATCATTTAAACATAAAATTACATCGCAAAATATTGTAAGGTATTAACTCATCTGAAAAAATATTTAAAAAAAAGGAAATGTGAAAATAAAAAAATTCCGTTGCTGTATATGTATTGAAAAAAAATGAAAACTTAAAAAGTGGTGCAAAAAAAGTTAATTAAAAAGTGAAAAAGTGGAAATCTCCAATCCATCTTTATCTTACCAAAGCCTGAAAAAAAGAGAAGTGGGAAGGAATATGCCTATTATTTTACCTGTAATGAGAGCGCAGAGTCCCAGTCACTGTCAGTAAATATTACAACATCTTTCCTCTTTTTTCTTTTATTTTAACCCCAGTCTGTAAAAACAAAATCGTAGTAAACCACGTGGGACTTCTTCATGAAATTCACGCCCCCAGTTAAATTTTAGAAAAAAAAAAAATTCAGATTGTGTGAGCGTGCGTGGGTGTGATGTGATATGATGTGACCTTCATTTTTTCCGCCTATAAAAAATAATTTATCCATCGATAAATGTAATTTTATGCATTTTTTATATTTTAAAATGGTAAAGATGGCGGTTGAGAATGTTGAAAATAGTGAACGGATAAATTTTGACCATCTTGGGTCTTGGCTCAACAACCCACTAGGCACCAAATCCAATTTTGGAAATTTAATTAATTTTTTTCAGGGAAATACTGCAAGTAATCTGAGTTTGAAGTGCGTAATAAATAGCAATTATTTTTTCCCTTAATTTTCTATATAAATTTTCATTAATTCATTAATTTAAATAAAGATAAATGTTATGTTCGCTCAGGTGGCTAATTAAATTCAAAGAGATGAAACCTTACATTCCATTTATTCTCATTTCAAGTCAACAAAGTTTTGAAAACAGCTTAGGTTGACTTAGAGATAGAGATTAGGAGAGCATATCTAAATTATTTCTCACTGAATATGTCTATATAAGGATAAAGAGAAATACTTAGTGCCAACTAATCTGAATTTTGAGACCAATTAAAATGTTCCAACTCAAATAATTTTAATTGACGTGTCAATCTAATCATATTTGACTTGGAGCGCTCTCAGTGATCAGAGTTCAAATTAGTTGGCATTCTAGGATTATGCAAGTATTTTTTTATTAGGATTATAAATTTTGATTTTTTAAATTTGTCTTTATTTTAGTTTTGTTTCCTCAAATTTCAAATCATATATCTTAATTTCTCAAGTTTATTTTTATTGGTAACTATAATCCAATAAAAACTTAGTCGATATTACCTATTGAAAGATCAAAACTTATAGTTTGAAAGTTGAGGGACTAAAACCAAAATAAGAACAAATTTAAAGGATGAAAAAATATATTAACCTTTCTCATTACATATTTACAAATTTGCAAGTGCTATTAAACTGCAAAATTTATTTAGACATTAAACTCTTTTTCCCAACTCATTTGATTTTTTTTTACTAAAATTTGATCATAAAGTGAAGATAGACCTTAATAGAAGGATGGAGCGCATTTAGGTATCGCGCCAGGCCTAATTCCTTATTTTGTCTTCTTAAGGTATTAATAATTGGGTTGATCTTTTAAAAATTAGCAATAAACTCCCTTGAATTTTTGAATTTATGCAGATAATTTTCTTAATATTACTTATTATGTTATTTTTTTATAATATTTAATTTGATATCTTATATAATAAGTCATATTGAATAATAACTCTTTCAAAAGTTTCTTTCCTTCCAAGAGTGTCAAAAGTTTCGTTTTTTTATGGTTAGTGTCTAAATTTTCCTTTCATTCCGTTCTAAAATATATTATGGTGTTAATTATAACTACAACCTTGGGTGTTTCTATTAAATAAGTTACTTCCAAAAAAAAATTTATTTACTTGAGTTATAAACATCTAGACATAATTTTTAGTGCATTTATAAAGTTAGAAAAACTAAATCATACCATTTATATGTTATAAATAGGATAGTTTATCATAGAATTTAAATTTTATATTGATGATTTGGTTTGACTATAATTGAATTTAGTCTTCACATATAATATGTTACGCAAAATAATATCTCATTTTATTTATGATTTTTGAGAAGCATATAATTTATCATAAATTTTATATTTTATATAAAATGCAACTTTAAAACTAAAGTATACGGACACGTAAGTTATTCACAATCATTGATGTGGGCCATTCCTAATCCATTACTTATACGCATTAATATATAAATAAAAATAAAAATATGCAAAGTGGGTGGGCCCAATCAGAAAGCTGTCAGAACTAATACCAGAAAGATTGTGGGTCCCGGCCTCCCCTCTCTCTATCTCATAGCTCTGACAAGTGACAATTATTTATTTAATAATATTATTTATGTTTATATATCCGCCCAGAAAATTTTAATGCCAGAATTTTAGAAAACAAAATGTATATAGTGAAATATTTTGATAAAAAAATTATATATTTGATGGTTTAGTAAAATGTCATTTATAAATAATGACTCAATTTAAATTATTGACATTTTTAATGTAAAATTTTTTCCATCTAATTTAGTTACCCTTATTAAAATATTATATTAAAATTTATCTAATTTGTGATCAGTGACCAAGTTAAAAGAATATGTTAAAGAATTTAATTTTCACTTAAGCGGATATCTTATATACCATGAAGTTTAGAAAGAAAAAACAATGCAACTTATCAGAAATTTATTATTTACATATTTAAAAAAATTTCAATATGAGTCCTCCAATACCTAATATAAAAATCTCAGTTTATTATATTTCTCATGTTTGATATTTTTTTCAAACTAATTTACCTAACTCATAATTAATATATAATTTAATAATATATAAAAGTATTTTAGAAATGTCATATATGACATTTTTTTGGCATCCAAATCACATTTATAATAATTAACTAATTTATCTTATTTTTTAAATTACTTAAATTTGTTAAATAATTGTCCAAATAGTTCTTGTCCGTGACTTGAGACTCAGTTTTAGTTTTACGTAAGAAATAAATTAATTAATAAAAAGTGATAGATTTTAGGGTTAATTTTTAGGGGACATGAGAAAAAGGTTGCTTGGGCGAGGCGGATTTGAATTTTGGGGGAGATTGCCTCGTCCACACGAAAACGGATGAGTACTACTCAATTAAATACTCTATACTCATTGCTCTCTTTCTTTCCCTCGCAAAAAGTGGGACGACAGGGTGTGCGCATCCCCACGGTAAAGCTGGTGGAGAATCTCCATTACTGACCGTTGGATTGATATTACTTTCTTGATGTGATAAAAATAATGAAAATGGAGTTCATAGGATCCGGCACAAATGCAGAGGAGTGTACCAGATCATCCCTCTACAAAGTATGATTAAAAGTGATTAAATTTAATAAATATCCTAAAAATATAAATAAATTTTCAAAAAAACACCTGTGTTTATTAATAGAGTTTTACTAACTAATATTGATCAGTAATGTTTTAAATAAATTGGTCTGGCCTATTGAAAGCCAGTAATTTTTTTTCCCAAAATTATATTATAAAAAAAAGATATTATGTGAGTAAATTACTGTGAGGGAGAGGTAAAGACTCCTTACCCAGTGGTGATG